CTCCTAGACATTCTGATGCTTAACACTAGTTGTCCAATACAGAACTGACTCCATGTTTTCATGATGTGTTTTCTCCTCTTTCTTTCTATGCTGTGTGTGTGTGTGTGTGTGTGTGTGTCTGTGTGTGTCTGTGTGTGTCTGTGTGTGTCTGTGTGTGTCTGTGTGTCTGTGTCTGTGTGCTCTTGCTTTTGGGCTTTGGATTTGCTTTCAGCTTTGACTTACTTAAGAGAGAAGAAAAATATGGAATGGGGTGGGCAGAGAGGGTGTGTAGGGGAGGAGTTGGGGAAGGGGAAAGAATGTGACCAAAATATGTATGAACAATTTAAAAAAGATTTCACAATATAAATATTGGAAAGTACATTAAAATTTTTAATTGAAAATAGATATCTTTGTAATCATTAGCTGTATTCATTCATTGAGTATTCAGAGTAATTTCCTCATTTAGGTGTAGTGACACACACCTTTAATTCCATCACTCAAAAGGCAGAGGTAGTGGAGTTTAAGGATAGCTTGATTTATATAGGGAGTTCCAGGTCAGTCAGGGTTACGCAATGAGATGCTCTGTCAAAACAAAGGAAAAGTGATTTCCATGTCAGAAACAAAAAGCAAAACAAACCATTGCAGAAGGCTAACTATGGAACTCACTCTTAAAGGGAAGTCATCAGTTACTGTTGTAAAAACCTTGCTGATTTGTTGGTTTTGTTTGGAGTTTTTTGAGGAACAGTTGCTACACATTTGGCCAGTGCTATTTACTCACAGTAGTCTCTTTGAGGAGCAAGGCAGTAATTTTAAGTATTTGTCAACACTATATCAAATTAATTCCAAGGCAGCCACTGCTAATCAGTGTTTCAGTGCTGATTGTTTTCAGGGATCTGGTGCCTGCAATGGTAGAGTACTTGCCACTTGGTGGCACTAATGCTTTTTTCAAAGGAGTTCTTGAAGGTCTAGGTTTCTACACCCAAGGCTCGGGGAATATTACAGATAAAAGGACCAAGATGTCTGTTGAAAGATTGTGTCTTCTGTATATACAACAGGGAAGCTTTATCCATGAACTTTCAATGATATGGTTGCCTGAATAACACATAAACAATGACACCACTAGTTGGTTTGCCAGGCTGAATGTAGTCTGTCACGCAAAACCCCATTCATACGTGAAGAGTTACATGCAATTAAGACTCCTTAAATGTTTAAATGTGCCAGGTCATTCTTCACTGTGGTCATATCACATCTTGTCAGTCAAGTGTTGACAGGTTACCTTGTGCCCTTACCAAATATTAACTGAGGTCTGAGGAGAAAACATAAGATCTTATTCTGTCCTGCTTAATTGACAGAGATCATTTTCTTTGTGCTGTCTCTATCATGCTCTGTCTTTAGTTTACTTGTTCTAGAAAGGTACTATTCCTAGTTTCCATTAATTTGTTTTTTCTCTTGTGAGTAGTTTAATTTTTCTAAATATTTGTTTTCTCCTTTGAAAAGAGGAATTGAAGACACATAAAGAAACTGGCTTCTATAGGGGTTAAAAGTTTTTAGCCTAGGTGGTGGTGTTGCATGCTTTTAATCCCAGCACCCAGGAGGCAGAGGCAGATGGATCTCTGTGAGTTTGAGGCCAGCCTGGTATACAGAGTGAGTTCCAGGATAGTCAGAGTGAGCTACAGAGAGAAACCCTGTCCAAAGAAAAGAAAAACAAACAAAGAGGGTTTTTGCCTACAATATTACAATGAACTTTTTATCATTTGGTCGCATTATTGACAGGTTTTGGCTGTTCAGATCTGCCTACTGCCCTGTACTCCTGATATCTAGTATAAGGCAAAATTTGCTCACTACTTTTCCTTTACTTTTGCTAAATAAGTTGAAAGTCTCTACAACCAAGTCCTTACTATTTCATATTATTTTCCCCCAACTTCAGGATCAGTTAAGTCTATCATTTATATTTATGCTTATTTAAAAAAACATTCATAGTGCTGCAGAGATGGCTCAGAGGTTAAAAGCACAGACTGCTCTTTCAGAGGTCTTGAATTCAATTCCCAGCAACCACATGGTGACTCACAACCATCTACAATGAGATCTTGTGCCCTCATCTGACATGTAGGCAGAACACTGTATACATAATAAGTAAATAAATCTTTTTTAAAAAAACTTCATATTGGTTCAGCTCCTCTAGAACATCTTGCCCTTTGTAGTCTCTTTAACATCAGATAGATCATAGATCAATTCTTATAGGTAAAATTTCAGTAGCTGTGATTTGAATTATTTTATATTTGGAGTTTTAATTATAATAAAACCATTTCTTCTACCCAAGAGCTTTGTTAATTTTAGTATTGTTGGTTTAGAGTTTGCAAATAATATAAAATACCTTGGGGTAACACTAACTAAACAAGTGAAGGACCTGTATGATAAGAACTTTTAAGTGTCTGCAAATAATATAAAATACCTTGGGGTAACACTAACTAAACAAGTGAAGGACCTGTATGATAAGAACTTCTAAGTCCCTAAAGAAAGAAATTGAAGAAGATATCAGAAAATGGAAGGATTTCCCATGCTCATGGATAGGCAGGATTAACATAGTAAAAATGGCAATTTTACCAAAAGCAATCTACAGAAATGTGTCTGTCCACTACCCTAACTTAACACCCCGTTGTGTCTCTATGAATGCTAAGCACTTAGTAGGCACTGCATAAATATTACTTTATATCACAGTTTATTGGTCAAATACTATTCCATAGAATAGACAGTAGATTACCTTGTGGCCTTTGTGTGCCTCTGTTGTTAGAGGTTTTCTCAACTTGAAATGTTACACCTTAATTAGAACTATATGTATGAATAGGTTTAAATGATTGCAAATTTCAGAGATATTCAAATTCATTTGCCCCAGGCTCCTTTCCTCTGCACCAGTCAAGGCACAGGGTCTTTATTCATCACACCTAATAATTGTGCTTCATTATTTAAGAGCACATAGCTTGACCTCAAAAGCCAACCTAACTTGACAGGATGGCAGTCTAGCCAGAGACTGGAAGTCACTAACTCATACATCTTTTTTCCTTATCCAGAATTATTGATGTTTTCAGGCCATGAAAGTACTTGTTTTAATTTGTTTATTGGTTGTTTGTTTTACAAATTAAGTTTAATTTGGGATTCAAAATACATTTGAAATCTGTTCTTTTTGTTCCCAGGCTACAAGCTGAGACATATCTCTATAATGTGGTTCTGTGTCTGATCTTTGAATATTACTAAGAACTTGATAAAAACACAGTGTGGGTGTATGTGTGGGACTCATTGGAATTGAAAAACACTTATTTACTATTTAACCCGCTGAGTTCATTTAGTGATGCACATGCATGTAGGCGCCTAGATTCATCCACTGGGTGTGGGTAATCTACCAGTGGCCTATATTAGTCAAGGGTCTCTAGAGTAACAGAATTTACAGAATAAATCCTCCCCACCCCGTGTGTGTGTGTGTGTGTGTGTGTGTGTGTGTGTGTGTGTGTGTGTGTGTATACATATCTTCCCACCTCAAAAGATCTGGATTAAAGGTGTTTGGATTTTTGCTTCAAATTAGCAAAAATTCCTCACAGATGTTCCCTCTGCTTTTGAGTTTCGGTTAATTACAGGTGTAGTCAGGTTGACAACCAAGAATAGCCATCACACTTCTCCCCAAGCAACCATAAACTACCAAAGCTCCTCAGCTAGGTTTGGATGCCTCAGGAGACCCTCCCCACTCAGTGTTGGAATTTTAAACTGAATTGATCTTTGCAGGCCTTGTGTAGGTAACCACAGCTGTAGTGAATTCATGAATTCAGCAACCATTAAACCACTAAACCATTTAACCACTTAAAAAAAAAAAGTGTGACCTGCCCTGGGGTCTGAAATGCCTATGCCATGGCAATACTCACTGAACTCTATTCCCTGTCCTTATAACATTTTCTCAAGATAGATATTATTGTGTCCTTTCCCAACATACATGGAATCTGGCCCATAATGGCCTTGTGTTTCTGAGGTTTCAGTAGCTTTCTTCTTTAGCATATCTTTCTCCAGAGATTATATCTGGGATTTTGGCTTTGATACTGAATTTTACATCTTAAGTCAATTTTATTGTAGTAGTATGGAATTTAAGGGTAATTTCATGAAGCTGATCTCAGTAGTCTCAACTGTTGACAAATGACTCTTATTGTTTAGTTTGGTGCAAGATGCTGGGAATGTGGGTCTGATTCCTTTAGTCAACCTCAGTTAATGGTTTGGGACAATTAATTTCCAATTGTTTCCCAGTAGAGCAGATTTACTTATATATTAATGAGGCACAGGTGTGGGCCCCTGGTGCCTGCATGCCTGTGAGGCATATTTCAGTTGTTTGTCTACTCAGCCACAGACTACAAGGTATTCAAGCTTGCCTTTAACAGTTTTTACACTGAGACTCTTACATTTTTTGATGTTTTCTTGAAATTTCTCTGCACCTGTTAACATTTTCACACTGATCATGTAGAAAGAAGCTATGGGGATTTCAGTAGGAAACATTCACAATTTAAAAAGGTGGTATTCTATTACATTTAACTGTCCAGCCTAGCAGAAAACAAAATAGGATTATTTGAAGAGTTATTTTATGTGAGAAGTCAGTATAACCAACAGGCTACTTCTTTCTTATGTAACTTTGGAAACAGGTGTACTTTTGTTAATAGATAAATAAGTCATATTTTTACTAAGACTCATTTTTCTTACTTATTCACTGAACTACACTACCAGTGTCTTCAAGGAAATGGAATAGCCTCCATAGACATTACATATTTCTGAAGCTAGGATAATTATAGCGATCTACATATTCATTAAATCTACAGAAGAACTGTGTCCAAGAAGACAGCCATTCGTTCAGATACAGAACACCCCTAAATATATGCATTTTAAAAGTTAAATTTCTTAGGCTATTTAAAATTAGTTTCTTGTAGCACACTCCTCTTGTAGTAGAAGGATTTTAACAAAAGGACACCACTGATCTGGTTTTTTTCCTACAGGAAAGAATGGGAAGAACTATTTGTAAACAACAATTACTTGGCAACAATAAGACAGAAGGGGATTAATGGGCAGCTGAGAAGCAGCAGGTTCCGCAGCATCTGCTGGAAGGTAAGAAGGAAATATTTATTTACAGTTTGTGGTAGCAGAGTATGAGCACATTACCTGATGCCCTGGAAGATTACCCACACAGGGATCACTGAAGTTTCTGGATATGTAACTTTTTTTTTTTTTCCATTTACGTTTTCCTTTCATAGGACATTTACCACTAAGGTTGAACCACCTGGGCAAGTGGAGTTAGTAAATAAATCCTTTGAAGTAACTTTCATTTCCTTTAATGGTGAACATTTCAGAGCAGTGCTATTAAATGACCTGGAGGAGGCTTTTCAGATGTTCTGAAGTTGGGCAGGAGAGTGGAGGGCAAGCTTGAAGTTTGAGCCTCTGTCATCTTGTCATTCTCCTTTTGTCTTACTAAAGAGCATATGGAAAGACTTAACATTCTTTTGTTAGAAACATAAAATGGAGGGCAGCCAGGAGAGTAGAAGGAAATTGGGTCATTCTCCTTTGGAGAGAAGGGTCATTGGTTACCAAAAGTGGTAATGATGATCTGCAGTCATCATTTTAATTGCTTTGAAAAATTAGCCCATTTTGTTCTCTAAAATGAATGAATTTGGATGTAGACTTGTTTTTTAAATGACCTCTATCAGTATTTTTAAGGCTGTCTGCATAATTTGAGATTGTAAAGTCTGTGCAAATCAAAACAATAAGATATACATGATGTATTATATAGTTCTAGATTTAATAATTTGGATTTAATAATGAAAATACATTTTTCTTTCTTTAGAGGCAGACAGGAGACCTGCTGTTAGAACATTTGTATTCAAATATTAGTGCCCCACCCTCATTCCCCGTTGTTTAACTTTAAGTACATTTTGTTTCCTAAAAATAAACCTAAGTCTGGATTCACTTTATTAGTGTGTTAAACTAAGTTAAATCACATTTGTCATTTGAAGAATGTATTTTGATAAGCTGATTGCCAGTTCTAAATTACATTCTCTGCTGTTAAACTTGCAGCCTCACTTCTGTGCCCTCAGCCTTCAGCCCTCAGGCCACTGACTTGATGAAAGCCTAGGGACTGCTTACCAGGTGTTGCCTGCAGTAACTTCCTGTCATTCCCAGGGAGATTAGATGTGAACTTCCATGTGCTTTCCTCCCTTTTTAGAATAAATTTTGAAGAAAGCCTATATCTATTTTGTAGTTTAACTTTTTAATTCTTGCTTTTAACCATTGATTATTTAGTTTTTGACTATTCTAATCATATTTTTTATATATCCATGAACATATTATTGGGAATTGAAATGATTATATTGAATGGGACATGTCATGAATGGGGTCTTTCTTTAAATTTTCCAATGATCTTATTTAGCCTGGTTTTCATACTTAGTAGGATTCTTTTTTTACAAAATTTTCTCTTTTTCTCCCCCCAACAGCTCTTTCTTTGTGTTCTTCCTCAAGATAAAAGTCAATGGATAAGTAGAATTAAAGAACTAAGAGCATGGTATAGCAGTATTAAAGAAGTAGTAAGTAAAAAGTCAATGTAACTCATGCATTTATAGTTATGTGCTGACTTTAAAGTACTAGCCTCTGATCTTTTGATATATCTCTTTCAGCATATCACTAATCCAAGGAAAGTTGTTGGCCAACAGGATCTGATGATCAACAATCCCCTTTCACAAGATGAAGGAGTAAAGTTCCTTTTTATTATGTTTGTTTGTTTTAAAATTATTTCATTTTTATATGTGTGTGTGTTTTGCCTGCGTGTAATGTCTGTGTACCATGTGTGTGCCTGGTACCTTTGGAACCCAGAGGAGCATGGTAGATCCACTGAAACTGGAATTATGGGTGATTATGAGCCACAATATGGGTGCTGGCAACCAAACAAAGTTCTCTGCATTAACAGCCAGGGCTCTTAACTACTGAGGCATCTCTCAAACCCTTTTTTATTCCTTTAAAAAAAAAATGCTTTATTGATTTATGTCATCTGTATGGGGTAAGGGTACTTTATATGAAAATCCCTATGTAAACAATTTATTTCATGCCCTGTGTTTTCAGTATTCTAAATACTACCTAAATCCTGATTTTGTGTATGTGTGTGTATACACACCCATAGAGGCCTGCTCTATCATTCTTTGCCTTGTTCCCTTGAGACTAGGTCTCTCACTAAAGCTCAAGCTTGCGTTCAGCTAGACTGACTAGGATCCACCATCTCTGCTCCCCAGTGCTGGAGTTACAGCCACGTAAGGCCATGCTCAGCTTTGTCCGTGGATGCTGAGGACTCCAACTCAGGTTCTCATGCTTGCGTCTCACCTGCTGAGGTATCCACTCAGCACCTGTGGGCCCGTCTCTTAAAGGTGCTGCCGCCTGCCAACAGCGCTAAGCCACTAAGCTTTCCACACTGCAGCCTTTGCGAGCTTTCAGGATCTACACCATAGCAATTTCTCTTGAGTTATCCACTGTACTCTAAATTAATTCTTGCTTTTTAAATGTAGGAATGCTCTATTTTTGAAAAGTGAATGTTAATTTTAGGTTGGCTGTTGTCTTCCAAAATATGTTTCATTATTATTATAAGTTTATATACTTGATTTTGACTTTAAGCATATTGACATTAATACAAGCTGTGTTTCAACATAAAAACTGGCTACCTGTTTTCTTGGACTCTGTTTTCCTTGGTGGAAAATTTGCCAGAATTTGGCTAATTTAATTAAAAACATTAATCCATTAGGACATAGGGAAATAAATGGATTGTCTATTTGTCCCTGGCTAACTTTCAGTCTGAATAATTAACTGCTAATTACAGGTTTGTGTTCACATTCTAAGAATTTTTCATGTTCAGAGTTAAATTAATTTCAGAGACTTGCTTCCAAGCCTGGCCACCTTGGTTCAATCCCTGAGACATGTGTGTATGTGTGTCTATGGATGGGTGTGTGCGCCCGCGCATGTACATGCATGCATACATGGGGAGGTGCAAGGGGTCTCATAAGAACTAAATGTAAAACAGAAGAGTGTCCCTGAGGATAGTGGTATCAGGGTTCCAGTGGAGAGGGAAGCAGCTCAGGAACACCTTACAAGTGTACACTTGGCAGAACTGTCCCTAGAAGAAAGCGGCTTCCTGTGGTGACTCTGGAGCAGCTCTTACTGCAGTGGAGTGGAGGACAATTCGTACTTAGCAGAGACTGTGTCATTACCACTTGTTGCTGCTCTACACCTGTGTATTCAGCTGAGAAAAATACTTTTCCCCATTTTATAGATAGATTAGTATTTTTCTTTGCTATAGTACCATAAGATACCAAATGATTTTTAGATGCTTGGTTTGTTCTTTTATTTTTTTGAGAGAGAGCCCCACTACATGGCCTTGGCTAGACTGAAACTTGCTTGGGCTGGCCTCAAACAGATCTGCTTGCCTCTGCCTCCAGAATGAAGGGATTAAAGGTGTGTGCTACCTTACCCTCTCACTAAGTAATTTTTAGACTTTCCCCAAGTTGTTATTTTGAAAATGTAAATGCCTCTTAGACTAGACAACAGTAGTGAAAGTGCCCTTCATCCTACAGAGATGATGAAATTTCAAAAATGCATATAGAAAGGAAATGAAAAAAAATTGTAAGCTTTTGAATTAGACCAGATTTTAATAGAAATATTTCTGTCAGGTTTCCTATCTGAGAAATCTAAAGTGACAGCTTTGAGAAGAATAAATTCAATCACTTAAATTATTAAATTGAAGTCATAAAAGTCAAGTAATGTGAGATTGTTTTAATTAGGTTAATCTCATTTTTCCAGAGTCTTTGGAACAAGTTCTTTCAAGATAAAGAACTGCGATCCATGATTGAGCAAGATGTCAAAAGAACGTATGTAGAGCTGTGTTTTTTCACTAATTTAAAATAATGCTACTTCTCTGTAATGCAAAGTTATTTTCTTAAAGAAATTTTGATTCTACAGATTTTTGTCTTAAAGATTTCAAAATTTTCAAAATAAACTACACATCAACCAAAGAATGTTACCTTTATCAATTTCTGATAGTTCACATTATTCTGAAAGGGTTGTGTTGTGTGATTATTTATATTGGTAATACTTGGTCAGCTTATCTCTGTGCATACATTTGAATTGCCTTCCAACCAAATTACTCTGTACCCCCTTCTTCATGTTTACTATGGTTATCCTTTTTTTTTCTCTGGGTGCTATTCAGGTGTGTAAATAACCTGTTCTGTTACTCTATTCAGCATTCATATGGAAAAGCCACTTCTTTTTGCATAGTAAATGTCCTATCACTATTACAAATCAGACCTCATCTTTCTGCACTACCTGCTGTGAAATACTTGGGATTTGCCTCAGAGATGGAGTGTGAGTTCTAGGTAATGCATGTTACAGCTATGGTCAAATTACTCTGAATATCCTCCATATTGGTGTCCTTTTCTGTAAATGGAGATGATAGTAGTTACCTCACCAAGTTTTCATGGCTTGATTACTGCAGGTTGATTATCCCTCGCTAGAATTTTTGGGAGCAGAGTATCATTTTGACTGTCTGTGTAGACTTTGCCAGTTAGTAATCCTTAATTCAAAAATCCCAAAATCTAAATGTTTCAAAATTCAAAACTTTTTGAATATTGATTCAATACCCTCAAAGTTTTGGATTTTGGATTTTGAATTTAGGGATGCTCAGCCTGCATGCAGAGTAAAATAGTGATTTAAATAGCTTTGTGTTTTGGCTTTTATACAATGGTAGTAAAGTTAATCATTCTACTGTGAAAACACAGGAGAGTGCATTAGAAATATGTAACGTTCTGCAGCTTTTACAGGGTTTTCCATTCTAATTCTGTCTATCACAATGTCAGGCCTCTAGTTTACTGACATTCAAATCTTTCTTGTATGTCCCAAAATACTGAAGAATCAGATGACTTGAACTACTACCGTATTACCTGCACTATTCAACAGATGGAATTTCCTGCTTTAAAAATGACAATAATTCAAAAGAATCAGGAGTTGAGAAATCAGCTAAACTGCAGCTAATATGTGAAATGGGAATTGTTTTCATTATCTTGCATCTGACAGTTAGTTCAGGAGTCACCCATTTTTTAAAATAAGCTCTTCTCAGAGGGCAGTGATTGGTTTCTGTAGTGCCCGTTTACAGAAACTAAAGCACCTTTGTATTAGCACATATGAGGCCCATAGAAAATATTGATTCTTTTGAAAATACAGGGTTAGGGTTACCATAGAAGAACTTTAGTAATCAATGTCAGAAAAACAGACTTCATGGTAAAAAAAAAAAAAATAGAATTACATGTTACTATCCAAATAGTAGCAGTGTTTGGTTTGGGGTTGTTTGTTTGTTTGTTTGTTTGTTTATTTTCAAAACAGAGTTTCTCTGTGTAGCTTTGGAGCCTGTCCTGGCAGTATTTGTGTTTTAAAAGTGTCAAAACTGTTACATCTCAGAGGAAGGATTTTAATTCATCTTTTTGTAAATATTAAATGGAAGTAGAGAAGTCATGGCACTGGTCTAGAACCACACACCATACTAGTCCAGAGTAGTCAAAAAATATAAAATGAGAGTGGAGTATAAGCAACCCAAGTAAGACCTTGTTCATCATTTTGCTTACTTAGCTCAACTATTTCTCCCTGGCTATGTAAGAAACTGGTAGATCTTGGGAACTGTTTTGTTTGGTTGGTTGATTTGTTTGTTTGTTTGTTTTTAACTGTTCTGTTTTTTGTTTTGTTTTGTATTCTAGGGGTTTTTTCCCCTCAAAAATATAAGATATGTGTATCAATACATATAGAGTTAATTTTTCTCTTGGTTTTTTTTTTTTTCCTTTTTTTTTTTTTTCTACTAGTATATTTGAAGGCAAGTACAAGATTCAAGGTAGGTGTCGGGAGAGCCTATAGTTCAGAATGTAGCTGGGGGTCAGGCTGATCTATCTCTAGCTTTCCTTGAATTCTCTCTATATATATTAGAGGAAGTTGCCATGCCTTCTCTATTGAAAATTTCACAGTCCTTTAATCCCAGTACTACAGAGGCTGAGACAAGGAGAGCTCTGGGAAATCCAGGCCAGCCTGGTTCATGTTGCAAGAATCTATCGCAAATAAAACAAAACAAAAACTGAAGAACAAGAAAAAATAATTGCAGAAGACTTAGTATTGAAGGTAGGGTAACTAATTTTACTTTAAAGCCACCAAATTGCAAAATCATCAAGTCTAACAGCTTGAGTATTATTACCACTTTGCATCTGGTGGTGGTGGTGGACGGTTGGTTTTGAAACAAGGCCCTAGTTTTCCTTGAGTCCCCTACAAACCCAAGGATGAGCTGAAACTCATAACTGTCTTGCCTTTACCTCCCAAGTGCTGGCGATTAAAGGCATGAGCCACCATCCCTAGCTCCTAGTGATTGAAATGATCTCCATCATTTTCAATTGAATCTATAAAACTACGAGTAATGCAATGGAAGGAAAAAAAAAAAACAGCTCAGAGATGTTTATACTTTGTTAAGTTGTTACTTAAGAATTTAGGGTTTTAAAAACATATATTGTGTCCTGTGTTGCAGGACATTGGTGGATATGAGAGGTATGTGATCACAGGATTTATTTTTCTTGTGCTGAAAGGAAGAATTCTATCAGCACTTACAAACGGGGAGAGTTATCAGGGTGATAACAGCTTTGGAGGAGTGAAGCAGAACAGTGAGTAGGTACTGAGAGAATAGCTCGAGCTATATTGGCTTTAGGGTCAGTGATTGGAGAAGGCATCTCTGAGAAGAAGAAGTTTGTACTGATATGTGGAGAACAAACCTTCATGACAACTCGTAGAGCTCTCACAGAGGAGTACTTCAGGCAGTGGGAACACCTGTTCAAAAATTCCCCCTGAAAATGAGTGTTGAGAGGAACCAGTGAAGTCTTGTATGGCTAGAACTAAGTAACTTAAAGAAGGAAATCTGAAAATATAGGAATCCCTACATAAACCATGCTTAAAACATAGTAACAGTTTGGATTCATCTCTGTTTGTAATGGGCAGCTGCTGGAAGATAATCCCGAGTCTTCAGAGGTAAAGGATGGTGGTGACTTAAACTGACGGTGCAGCATTAAAGATGGGAGCAAATAGACTGACGGCACACAGACTCGGGTTACTATGTATGTGTTTCTTACTCACTAGTACTGTTTAATTATTACTGCTCTGCTTGGAGTTTTTAAACTCCTGTCTATAGGATGTTGTTTAATTGTTCTCATTGGATGTATTTGGTATCCTTTCTACTCCAATCCATTCCATGTGCTCAGTCCAATCACTATTTATAATCCTACTGCTTTATAATCTAAAACTGTGGCCACAGAAAAATAGATTTGCCCAGTTTCTCTAACGCATATATAATTCCCTTTCGCAGTGTTATTTCCTGTCATTACAACCAAGAACAGGTTGTGCCTAGCATTCTACTTACCCACTGCTTGTTGTCAGGTCCCTGCTACTCACCATATCCATAACACATTTCATGGGCTTGCCCTATGGATTTTTTAAGTGCCTATTTTGCATCTTGTTGAATTTTCCTGTAACTTTTATATGATATTTAACTTTGGTCTTACATTTATTTAAGTCTATCTCATATGCATTCACAACATTTTTATTAATCTCCAAGGTTCTCAGGCATGATAGATACCAGAATAACTATGATATGTACCCAGTAAGAAGTTCAAGTCTAAGGGGAAAGCAGAAAAAAGAAATCAGAAGGAGATCAGTTGGTGCCGTAGGGGAAGCGGTGTGTCCAAGACCTCTGCTGTTTGTCTAGTCCACTTCCCATCTTGTGGCTAGACCCAGACCCAGAGAAAGCTAAGAAAGGCCATTTTGTTGTGTTGGTGGTGGTTTTTGACTTAGGTTGGGTTATTATTATTATTATTATTTTTGGTCTCAAGACACATTGCCAAATTGACACCCAATTTTTAAGGCCAGTGATGCTGATGGTCAGTGACAATCAGTGTTGCTTAGCTCTCACTCTACTTCTTAATGTCTTTTCAGTCTTACAAGACACATTTAAAAAAATATACCTGAGTTTAAATAAGATAATTTGATTGTTGGATTTATTTGATCTGGATATTCACTGTGTTAAATAGTTTCCTCTTAAATTATTTTAATATCCATTTTAAGCCACAACTCAGTTTTTTACTTCAAGAGGTTTATATTCATTTCAAAATAATTGTTCCTTATCTCAGGCTAATGAAGTTGTAACTATCCTGATTTTTATTACAGAAACTCAGTCCTGATACAAGGTAAATCAAGGAATGTCCAGTCTTGCGAATTTCTTATTTAGAGTTTAAATTGTTCTGAAAAAAAAAAATGCCACATATTAATCAAAAGCTCCAATGTTAGCAGTTTTAAATTTTAACATTATTTAAAATAACTGAATTCAGGATGCAATAGCATTTTCATACTAGATGCCAAAGAAGTATGTTATTTGGTCTATCAAGGTCTATTCTAAAAATACACAACATCTATAATACCATTTGCAGATTAACATACTATGAGCTTTGCCAAATAGTCTCATCTTTTCGTTAGATATATTCTGTCTCCTAAAGTAGATGATTAGAGTTCTTTGAGTTAGTGTTTTTCTTTTAACTTCAGCCATATTTAAAATTTGCCTGTTTGCCTGTAGGATTTGCTGGTCATTATTTTTAACTTTTGGTCTTTTTTATTCTCAGTAATTACTAACATTTCAGATAGTTTATTTCCTATGTGAGTCTACATGATGCAGTTAGTCATTTTCACTTTTTTTGAAAGATGGAATATTTTTCTTTTAGAGCTTGCTCTTTTTTATAATTTACATATAGGCCAAATAAAATTTTGTATCCTCGTTTAAAAAAATATCATTTACCATTTTGAG